TTTATATTACATTTTATTATTAATATTTTATATGTTTTAAATTCTATTTTATTGTTCAATTGTAAATAAGATTCATGTATTATAATAATTTATTGCGATAATTATAATGAAAATTTCTATTATTCTAATATAGTAATTAGAATAATGTAATAATGCCATAGTACATAAATAAAATTAATTATAAAAAATAATAAAAATGTACTAAATAGTGGTTGATTTAGAAATCAAGCAATATTCAGAAAATATAAGAAAAAGAAATAAGTTCCAAAAACAACTATTAACCGCGAACATATATTATCAAAGATATTAATTTAAAACAATTCGTATAATCATGATATATTTTTCATAATATACTTCGATCGAAATATACTTCATAATCGTGTCAGGTTTTCTCGTTAATTGTAAGTTTTTTAATTACCATGTCATTTATAAATTTCATAATATTGCTTAAACTTTTTTTAATTTAATATTATATGTCAAATTTTATAAAATATTGTATCGTATCCAATTTTTATCAAAATTATTCTGTTCCATAATTATTTAACTTTTATTTTTAATTAATAAATTATCTTTATATATCTTATTCTTCCTTATAATATTTTATTATGTTAAATACTAAACTAAATTAAATAGAATATTATTTTTCACAAAAAAATAAATCGAAAATGAACCAGAAAATAAAGCAAAAAATGAAACTTTTTCAGAAAAAAGACTTATTCTTTATTTTCGTTTATGGAAAATAATATTCTTATATTTTGTACAAACTTTCTATTATTTCTTTATTAACATATCAGAAATCTTTCTATGGATCTTTCTCTTATATTATATGTAATATTGTTCCCTATTCAATTATACAATCCAGTTGTCGTTCAACTCATATAATGAATTATATGATATAATTTTTTATAAGCCATATTTTTCGTGTCGATTTTTTGAAGTAATTAAAGAATAGAAGAATATAGCATGCTACTAATGACAAAATTAAGACAGATCTATGTATCGTTTGAAAAATTTTATTATTATCCATTAAATTTATATTATTATTATCCATAAAATATATAGACTGAATAATTCTATATATTTTCTATATATAATTCTATATATTAGAATAATTCTGTCGTAATAATTTGATTCATATTCTTAAATTTATCGTGTGAGTTCAATATTCTATATTATCATAATACAATATTAAAACATTATCAATATTTAAACTAAATTAAATTCAAATAAATTATTCTTAAAATTTAGCAAAAGTTTTATATCTCATATATAAAATTAACCTATTCCATAAAATATATTTTAAAAAATATATAATTCAAATTATCAAAATTTTCTTACCTGAAAATCGATGAATTTTATCCATAGAACATGAAAAAATGTTTGTCTAAAAAAAGTTAATATTTTTATATTCGATTTGTTTCTGAATCTAAAAATTGAAAAATATACAATTGAAAAATATACAAAACATACACCCATATTTAGAATATAATTATAAACATGCTTGCTCCCAATTATAGCTCTTCGTGCAATAGAAAAAGAACTCTCTGGATATAAATAAAATTTCTCATGACATGGAAAACGCGCCAAGAGAAATATAGGCGAAACTTTACATTATCGATTCTTGAATCGAGCTAAATCATATAAATATTACTGAACACTGAGTGTCTTATTATTAATGCTCTTTTTAATAATTTGTTTTAATAATTTGTTCATTTTACATCTATCATTCTTAGATATTTTGCTATAAAACCGTGATCCGATTTCGTATGCTTTGCATTTAGGTATTTTAAATATGATATTCATTTATATTGCAAAAATTTATATATGTATATGTATCTGTATTTGCTTGAGAATCTTGTCAATTTGTCAGTTGTCGATGCAGTAATATAATTTTTTTGAATTCTAAAATTTGATGCAATATTAATATTTTTAATAGTTAAAATTTTATTTTTAAAAAATTATTGTTTTTTTTGAAGAATTTTATTCGATATTTATATACTTTGTTTACATAGTGAAAATTATATCAATTGAATCAATAATTTATCAAAATAAAAAAAAAAATGAATAAAAAAATATTCATATGAATAAGATTTATATTGTCGACTTACATTGCAATAATGAATTTTTATAAATCAGTTTTTCTTCTTTCATCTTGAGTAACTATTGCGAAGAATCCGATTCAACTCGGATTTCTTCATTTATGATTTTAAATATCATGAAAACATATGCATGCTTAACATTATATATGATTTGCATTATTAGTAAGAATAATATATCACACTAAAACTTCATAAAAAAAATAGATACTTTGATAATCCAGTTTAGTATTCCATTAAATTGTTATCAGCAACAGATTATGATATGCAAATCATTCTTGTTTAATACATATAATTCTTATTTTGAACTCTTGTTTTACTCAATTTTTATTTTCAAACTAGATAAATTTAAGTGTAATACATAATTATAATTATATATATATATTAATAATATTATGTAATAATTAAATAAATATATTTTTCAGTATTATGCAAAACAATATTTAAATAATTATTTTATATCATATTTATATATTTTGTATAGTATTAATTAGATATACTATATTTGAATATCGAAAAATTTTTCCAGATTAATAATTACACGATTTCTCAAATTTTAAATAAGAATAATGGCAAGACAACAAACAGCTGATAGAAATATTCCCCATCTTCGAGATATCTTTGGATTTGGTAACAAATGGGAGAATACGCGTTTTCAAGTCGAAGAAAAAGCACCAGGACATGACAGTGCCGTATCCATCGGTTCAACTTCTGGTGAAGAGGAAAGTCCTAAGAACAGCAAGAAAAAGAAATCACGACGTCGTGATAATAGCAAAACTTTAACGGAAACCGATGTGAAACATTTGGAAAGACATTTATCTATGAAAAAAACTATTCGTAAAAAGATTATGCGTGATTTGCAGCAAGCGTTTGTCGAGGATCCAAATGAGTTCCGGGTAGATGATATACCACCAGAACAACTTAAGGCAGAAATCAATATTCAGAGTCTGAGTTTTGGGACACCATCACAAAAACAAGGTCGTACACGTGGAAATACAGAGAATACATTCTTAGATATGTTACGTGCTGGAGATAGTAAGATTTTTTCAATTTTTTTATAAATTTTAATATAAATAATATATTAATTTCTTTGAAGTTTATAAAAGAATCTAAAAAAAAAAATTATGAAGCAAATACAGTCAAAAATTTCTTTTATATTAATAACTTAATATTAAAATATAATATTCTATAATAACGAAAATTATATATATTAATATTGTATAAACACAACATTAATTCTTATTAAATTACTTAAAATTTTGTTTTATTTGAAATTTTATTAATAAAATTATAATTTATATTTAATATTAAGTTTAATGCTAATATATAATATTTATAATTTTTATTTTTTTATAAAACTTTTTTAATTATCATTTGAAAATTCAGTATTAATATTTATTATGTATATCTCTTCAAATATTTATTAAATATTTCTTAAGTTAGATAATTACAATTGATATATTTATATTTTACCTCTAAATTATATATTTAAAAGTGATTATCAATTTATTCTAGGTCTTGAAAAAAATTCTGGAGATGGAGATAGAGATTCTGGACATGGTGGTTCTCCTATAAGGGAGACTCCTAACACACAAGATACAGATGATGAATCTAGTTATCCTTATGATATTCCGGTTGCACCGCCATCGAAGAAGAGCGGCAATTTCTGGAGACGTTTTACTATGAAAAATCGTAATAAGCGATAAATGCTCTATATAAACCTTCAGTCGATGATTATCAACTTAATTTCCGTTTCGTAACAATATCAACTTAGTTATTTGAGCAGAGCTTGCAACTGTGATATGATATATATGAAAGAAAAAACCGAATTATCTCGAGTGAGCACTTTTCCTAACTTTTTTTTAACGGATCTCAGAGTTTCTAAATCTAATTTTAAAAATACAGGACCAATAACTTGCAAAAAATTTTAGATTCTCAGAGAAATTTTTTTACAAAATAATGAAAATAAAAAAGATTATAAAATAATGAAAATAAATAAATAAAAAGTCATATTTTTACATATCACAATAATATTTTTAGAATTTCTTCTTCGAAATACTTTTTGACTAAATTTTTGTATAAAAATATTTGTAAATAGTGATTTACATTAATATTTACAAATAATATATATAAAATTACTCTGAGATCCTTAACTTCTTGATCTTACAATCTTATATAAAACTTCTTTTGATGTACTTAAAGTAATAATAAAATAATTAAGAAATACAGCGAAAATATTTAGCATGTAAAAGTAGATAATTTTTTTTATTTTATTTTATAATTTAAATGAGAAAAACCAGGTGAAAATAATAAATATGCACAATTCTTTCATCATGTATATTGTTAGTATTAGCTAGTCAAACAGGTTTTGCAAGAGGATCGATATATAAAATATTCTTAAATAACTTGTTCCAATTTTATACTATTATTTTTTTGTAAAGTTGATCAAATATACTTATTGTATACAAAATATTTATTTTAATAATAATGAAATTATTTTTTTGAAACAAAGAAAATACAAATAAGAACAAAAAATTTTTATGATTATTTTTTAAAAATGTAATGAAAATGAAAACATTATTTTATACTCTAAAATAATACTATAAAATTATACTATAAAAATAGTTTCGATTCTCTAAGAAAATCTGAATATAAAATTATAAAGGATTTTCAATTTTAATAAAACAAATGAAATATACATTATTATGAAGTTTGATATTCATTATATACGATATTGGTGTAAAATCTTATTGTTCCTATTGTTCTTGAATATCTTTTATGACATCAATAGCATTTATAAGAAATTCATAAGAATTACATTTACCTGATATGAATCTTTAATTATATGTATTATATTCAAGAATTATAATATTAGATGTAAAGGTAGTGATTAAATAAAAATTCTTTACAAGCATTATTTCGTTTCTATTTTTTTGTAAAAAAATATTTAATAAAATATATTCTTTTTTAATAACAAATATAAAAAATATATAAAATGATATAAAAATAACTATTTAATTGTATATTAAAAATATACATAGTATCTTTCATTGATTTTTGAATTTAGGTAATCTTTTCTCAATGAATGCTGTCATCCCTTCCTTTCTATCTTCCTAAAATTTGAATTATAAAGTTTGATTTTTATTCATAAAAACTTATTTATTACTTTTATTCTTAAAAAGATTCTTACAGTTGCAAATGTACCATGGAATATTTTTTTTTCAAAATGAAGTCCCTCCTCTAAAGTAGTTTCATAAGCTATAAAGAAAAATATAATATAAAGAATTTCAAAAATAACAGATAATATAGATATTAAAAAATTTCAATAATTACCAATATTAACAGATTCTTTTGCCATGGCAACAATTAATTGAGAATGAGAAGCAATTTTTTCACCCAATTTAATTGCTTCAGCAACAAGTTTGTTTGCTGGAAAAATTTTACTAACCAAACCTGCAATTAAAAATAAAATAATATTTTTATATGTATTGTACATATATTTTTATCTTTTTAATAATTTAATCCACCATTTTTTTCTGCCTCCTCAGCATTGATTTGCTCGCCTGTTAATACCATTTCCATTGCTTTGCTCTTGCCAATTATTCTAGTTAATCTTTGAGTACCACCTGCACCAGGTATAGTACCAATAGTGATTTCAGGTTGACCAAACTTTGCTGTATCTCCAGCATAAATAATGTCACACATCATTGCTAATTCACAACCTCCACCTAACTAATATAAATTTATATTCTTTAACAAGGAATTTTTTATAAAACAAAATTTAAAAAATTTTCGCATTCATAAATAATGCTAATATAGGATAATTAAATTTAATAATATATCAATATAAAGTAAAATATTAACACATTGTTAAAATTTTTCAAATTTTCTTCACTTTCTTGTAGATTATACTAACTTACAGCATATCCATTTACAGCAGCAATTACTGGTTTTGATATTCTAGAAATATAATTCCAATTATTAAGAAACTTATTTCTAATATTATATGCATAAGTATTGTTCTTCATTTCTTTAATGTCAGCCCCTAAATAAAAAATTAAAAAAAATAAATGAAAATTATAAATTTAATTATTAAATTGAAATATATAAATTGACAATGATTATTAAATTATGATCATTAAAAATTTATATTTTACCAGCTGCAAATGCTTTTTCACTGCCTGTAACTATTATAGCTCCGATATTATCATTAGTATCAAATTTTAACATAGCATCATTTAATTCAGTTATCAATTTTTCACAAAGAGCATTTAAAGCTTTTGGTCTGTTTAAAGTAATCAAACCAATATTTTTTTTTTCTCCAGCAGTTTCCACTTTAATGAATTCATAATTTTGTGGAACATAGGCTACAAATTTATAAATATTTTTATTTTTTATAAATTATTAAAAATCATATAAAAAAATTATGAATGAATATTTATCATAATTACTAAAATAAAATAGTTATAAATAAATATTCTATTAATTAGAATAATTTTATCCCTTATTTTCAGTAATCTTTAATTTCGTATAACACAAATTCATACATATATATTTTTTAGGAATAACTAAACTATTATCTAACTATTATCTTTTACAAGGGTTACAAATATATATTTAAAAATAATTAAAATAAAAAATAAAAAATATTAAATATATATATATATTAAAAAAAAATACATAAATTTTTCAATCACGATTTTTTCAAATTTTATAATAATTTTCTTTCTATATATTTTTTAAAATTATTAATAATTTAAATTTTATGAATGGAATATAAATATAATTAATAATTTGATTTATACGAGAAACATTAAAAAATTATATATAGCAAGATAAAAAGAAGAAATATATTTATTGTAAACTTAGCATATATTATATATATTTATCCGTTAATAATAATATACATACTAAATCAAGATTTAATATTTAAAAATAAAATTTTTGAAAATTTTTTACTTATCTTTATATCATATCAAGATTATTAAATTTCATCGACGTTTATTGTCTATTAAATATAATTTTTATTATATATTTTATTATATATATTTTTTCCCGTGTTTTCCTCCATCAAATATCAATATAGTAGTGTATATATTAAACAAATGTGCGAATTATACGATATATGTGCATATAATTTAATAAGAATAAAAGATATAGAATATATCTTATTCTTTAATAAATATATAAATATATAAATTATAAATACTTATTAATAGTTTTATATTTTTGTTTGTACTTTAAGAAATTACATAAGTAAAACCACATGCAATGAACATGTGTAAGTAATTGATAACGGCTTTCATCATATCATTATAATACGATGAAAAAAATTTTATATATAAGATGGTTCACTTAAATATTTCTTTCAATTGTGGTGCTATAAAAATATCTTTTTATATATTAATTTGAATGAATCAAGAAATGAATACATTGCAAAGTATATTTTTTCAAAGATTATTTTTTGAAGATCATTTTTTTTATTGCATCATATGGCTGATATTAAATACGTAAAATATGTAACCGATATGACCTTAAAATGATTTTTAACTTTTAAAAATTAAAATTAAGTATGGAATTAATATATTTATAATATATTATTATATATTTATATATTATATATGGAGAGAGTAAATATATAACATTCTTGATTTTTTTACAACATTGATGATTTTGAAAAAAAATATTTATATACTAAATATACTATACTACTATATACTTATATACTTATATACTAAAAAAAATCAATAATCTAAAAAAAAATGATTTTAAAAAAAATTTTTTACAATATATTAAATAGAAAAATTATTTGAATTTATCTTACTATAAAAATTGAAAGAATTTTAATTTAGACCATTCAGTATAATTGAAATTACGTAGTATTAGTTTCTTATATAAAACTTTAAACTGATATATATATATATATATCTCAAAAACTATTCTAAAATATTATATAAAAGTTTTACAACATTAAATATATATTTGTATCTAATTTTAAAAGTAAATTTCACTTGTGATTTTCATTTCTAAAAAAGTAGTATTATACTTACAACAATATTTCATATTGGATACAAAATACTGTGGTTTTTGACCAATCTGCAATTGTTTGACAAGGATTTGTCCAATGCGTAGAATTGTCATATTTGCAAAATTTTAATATTAATAAAAATATGTACGTTCTTCGAAAATCAAATGAACAAGATACGAGATTATAACTTACAAGAAAATGAAGAAACTTATCAGTCACAAATAGCAGTGATGTATCGACAAATATTTGAACCCTAGTAAGTTTTTTAATCTATTTAATTTATTAAATTACATAATTTACTTACATAATTTATTATAATTTAATATAATTAATATGTATAATTTACAACAATATAATATTATATCATATAAATAAATCTAAAAATGTAAAAATAATAAATAATGTAAGCATAATTTAAACAACGGGAATCTGCGTTATAAATTAATTAAAAAAAGCATTTAATAGTGTTTAAATTTGATTAGTTGTATTTCCATGCATATTCTTTACCGCTAATTATGAAAACTATTCATAAGAGAGTTTTTTAATAAAAAAAATTATTCTAATAAATTTAATCACAATTAATATCTATAAATTAAATGATATAAAAATAATCACAATTGTAATTAATTAGTTTATATTATAAAAAATTTAAATAATCTAATTGAATAAAATTTATTTTGATGAAACAAAATATATAATAAAATTTCTGATTTATTTTATTATGATTAATATTTTTGATATTTTGGATATTTTATTAATGTAAGAATATAAAGCATGAAATTTAAATCCCATCACAAATTGAAACAGAAATAATATTTTTGATTTATTTATTGATATTGCAGATTTCGAATTATCGAAAAATGTTAGAATGTTAGTCTAGATTATTAGTATAGTCTTTGTCTTGAAAGAAGTTATTTGAGTTGACTAAAATTGGTGAAATAAACTGTTTCGAAACACAGAAAAATTAATTTATATGTTGAAAGTAATTCAATTTTTTTTTTCAAAAAAAAAATTTGAAAACAATAACATATAATGTATTTTAACAAGAAAAGTTATGTTTAAAATTATTATTTTATTTTACATGAATTTAATTAGTTGAATTATTATTACTATTTTCAATGTATTTCGTCAATATGTTACGAATGCGTAGGTAAGATTATCTATTATTTAATTTTTTCTACATTATTTGAATAAAACAAAAAAATTTAATGCCTAATTAAGTTTCACAGTATAACTTAGATGCTTTCTTTTTTTTCTTTCATTTTTTTTTATTGATCATCTTTTCCTTTATCATATTGAGTGAATATAATGAGGAGTAAAATGCCACCATTTCGAAGGAAAAAATCTGGAAAATCTTTTCCTGTTAAAGTCTGTACATTGGATGCTGAATTGGAATTTAGTTTAGAGGTTAGTTTCTTATTGCATTATTTGTTTTATTTATTCTGCTATTAAATATTTATATATAAATATTTATTTTAAATGGATTTATAGTGGAGATCAACAGGAAGAGATCTTTTCGATTTAGTTTGTCGTACAATAGGATTAAGAGAAACATGGTATTTTGGACTTCAGTATGAAGATGCTAAAGGATTTATATCTTGGTTAAAATTAGATAAAAAAGGTAATTATTAAATAATTTGTATAATTTTATAAAAATAAAATTATGTTCTAATAATATTATACTTCTATTTTAGTACAAGATCAATGTATTTCTCAACAACCTACAACACCTTTCATGTTTTTGGCAAAGTTTTATCCAGAAGATGTTGCTGAAGAATTAGTGCAGGAAGTAACTCAACATTTATTTTTTCTACAAGTGAAACAAGCTATTCTTTCGATGGATATTTATTGTCCACCAGAAGCATCTGTATTATTAGCTTCTTATGCAGTACAAGCAAAAGTAATTATAACTTTTTTTAGAAAAATAATATTATTTTTATATATATTTATCTATGTTTTAAATATTTTAGTATGGAGACTATGATGAAGTTTCATATCGTCCAGGAATGCTTGCTAGCGAAGATTTATTGCCACAAAGAGTTATTGATCAATATCAGATGACACCTGAAATGTGGGAGGATAGAATAAAAATTGGTATGCTGATCATCGTGGGATGTCTAGAGATGAAGCAGAAATGGAATATCTGAAAATTGCTCAAGATCTTGATATGTATGGTGTAAATTATTTTCCTATTAGTGTAAGTAGTTTTCATGTGTATAAAAAATATCTTTTGTAATTAAAAACATTTTTATTGAATGATATTAATTATTAGAATAAAAAAGAGACTGATCTTTGGTTGGGAGTCACAGCCTTGGGATTAAATATTTATGAAAAGGAGAACAAATTGGCGCCGAAAACAACATTCACATGGTCGGAGATACGACATATCAGTTTTGATGACAAGAAGTTCGTAATAAAGCCAGTGGAGAAAACATCGCCGAACTTCGTGTTCTTCTCGCAGAAAGTTAGGATGAATAAACTGGTAAAAAAACAGTCAGATGTTGGCAGCTGGGTGAAGGGTTTGATAGCTTTAGGGTTCGACGAACAAAACAATGACAAAGCTGCTCACATATTATTTGTTAAGATTCTGGACCTGTGTATTGGCAACCACGATCTGTTTATGAGGAGACGCAAACCTGATTCCATGGAAGTGCAGCAAATGAAAGCACAAGCCAAAGAAGAAAAATCAAGGTAGATTTTTATATATATGCATATATATTTTAAAAATGCTTGAATTTTCTTTGTTTTCTCAAATATTTCCAATACAATATATAAACATTATTTTCTTTTATGAATTAATTTTATATTTTATAATTAATTAAATTTTTTTAATTTGAATGGAGCTTATAAAATCAAATGCTTTACTAATATTTAAAAATGAAAAATAAATTTTAAATATTGATTTAATAAATTATAAAAAATTTTCAATAATTATATGCATGAAAAGTTTATATCCATTTTATTATAACAATATCCTAATATATTTATGTTTCTTTTTCTTTTTTTTTTGTTGTTGTTTTATATTATTTTATAGGAACTGAAATCTAAAAATAATTAAATAAATGTTTAATCAGGTTAGTATACTTATTTAAACACTTAAAAAAGGAACACCTTTACTTCAAGGAAATCATATAAAATGTACTTTTTCACAAAGACATTTTTAATAGATAAGTAATTATTATTATATCAATCAAATTAGTGCTTTCATAATATTGTGCAATTTTTTTCACTTCAATAATATTATTTTATTAGGAGACAAATTGAAAGAAATAAATTGGCACGAGAAAAGCAACTCAGAGAAACAGCAGAAAGGGAAAAGGCTGCTATGGAACAACGACTTTTACAATATCAAGAAGAAATTCGTTTAGCAAATGAAGCACTTGTAAGAAAATATAAATAATAAAATTCTATATTTATTATAACTAAAAATCGTCACAAAAATATTCAATTAATTATAGAGAAGATCTGAGGAAACTGCAGATCTATTAGCTGAGAAAAGTCGTGTAGCCGAAGAGGAAGCAATGCTATTAAGTCAGAAGGCTTCAGAAGCGGAACAAGAAATTACACGTATACGATTGAACAATATGAAGACAGAAGAGGAAAAAGTTCATCTTGAACGAAAAACTAGAGAAGCAGAATTGTTGACAGAAAGACTGGTACAAGAATCTGAACGAAGAGCTGCTGAAGCAGAAAAATTAAAAGATGAACTATTACGTGCACGTATTGCTGAAAAGGAAGCAAAAGAAAAATTACTAGAATTTCTTAGTAGAAATGCTTATACTGCAACTATAACTGTAAGCATCTGAATTATAAAAATAATAAGTATAATTAAGTGTAGATAATTATAATTAAATATATTTAATATTTATATTTTTAGCCCGTGCCAAACATATTTCCATCGACGCAAGTACTTCCATCAGATTTGCAAGCAGATCTTCAAACATTACAATTGGATACAGAACCTTTGCCAACTGATCTCACTTCTTACGATCTGATTGCCGATGGAGATGTCGATCAATTATCTTTAGAAATTGAGAAAGAAAGAGTTGATTACTGGGAAAAAAGTAAACATTTACAGGAACAACTTAGAGAATTGCGCACAGAAATTGAAGTTATGAAAGTTGGAGAAAAACAGTGCGAATTGGACCAATTACACGAAGAACAAGTGCGACTCGGTGAGAATAAGTATAGTACATTAAAGAAAGTAAAATCTGGATCCACCAAAGCCAGAGTTGCATTCTTTGAAGAATTATAGTTGATGTATTCCTAAGAGATCAAAAAATTGACAAACTCTATGGAGAGAAGTTGAATATACAATGAAATAAATCTGATGAATCTGAATCTCATAAATACGTACGTATGTATACGTTCTAGAATACTAAAACGTACGCTTTTTGTTGTATATTAGTATTAGTTTTATTAATATCCCAATATTTGCGATATCAATATAATTAGTAAATCATACTCATACAGTAAATTGTCTTTTGAACCTATGTTGTTTTTATTCTATGTATTTTTGTCTGTTTTGTTAATTTTTAATTTTGAATGTTTCAGTAAGATAATTAGTAAAATTTAACATTTAATTGCACAAAGTAAATATAAAAAAAATCAAAATTATTAATAGAATCATTAGATATTAATTCTTGTAGAAATAAGTAATTTGTAAAATCGTAAATATTTTTTTAATGCATAAAAATTTTAAAACAAATTATCTTTTTTTATATAAACATTACAATGCCCAAAAAGCATTTCTTAATGTTCATATTTTGATAGGAATTGGAATTATAATAATATTTCAATTATAAAAAACTAGTAATAACATAATGCGTTTAGATACAATTATATATATGAATATTCTTAAACTCTCTTAAAATCGTGATTGAATGTGCCTATAATAAATTGTATTATATATCCTTTATATTGTGTGATTAGACAAAAAATTCTCAAAAAAGAAAAAATTTCATTAAAGCTATAGTCTAGTCAAATAATTTATAAAAATGGACAATGAAATGAAAAATGATAACTAAATTCTCCATTCGTAGAAAAACAAAATTAGATTATTATGTTTATTGATAATTAAAATTTAAAACTATATTTTCATGCATGATTATTATTAAACTATAATACTGAAGTGTTTTTAATAATCTATTTAATTTGAATAATTTAAAACGTATCTATTATAAATATAAAAAAATTTTTAAAATAATTAAAAATAAATTATAAATATTTAATAATGATTAAAAATATCACATGCATTCATACATTGATTAAAATTTCGAAATTATAAAATAAAGAATTATTTATTATTATGTAATTTATTATTATAAAAAGAATTTTTTACAGTTATATAAAAGTAGTTTTTCTATTGAATACTAAATATATAAATAATTTTAAAATAATATATATTATAACAAAATTAAAAAATTGAAACCCAATGTATGAGTATAAAATTTTTTACATAATTTATGTAAATATGAAGAAAATTATTGATTTTTGCTATAATGCTATAAAATGTAACTAACATAATTACTATATTAGTTTGATTAGACTAGAGCATTAATAGATGGTGACATAGAATCTTTGAGCATTAAATGTGGCCTTTGAAAATGTTCCTATCAACATAGTAGAAAAGTCAGTGTTCAAGTACTCAATTAAATAAGATTTTCCAAATATTTTAAAATATAGTATATTTACTAATAGTGTAGAAATAAATATATATGATATATAAAAAATTGATTTTAATTTTTATATTAAAGTATATATAAACCTATTTCCTTAAATTTTTCTTTATTAATTTATAAGATGAAATTTTTACTAATAATTACATAAATTTAGTAATAAAAAAAATATAAAAAAAGCTTAAAAATTTTGGATTTACTCTATATTAACATTATATGAAATTCTTCTTAAAATGTGCCATAATAATTAAAAAATGTTCCAAATGTAAATAGATAATACTGATAAAATCAATCAGATAAAAAGAAAAAAAATTTAAGTTTGGAAAATTTTGAATTAAATTATATAGTTAACAAGTTTATACAATTACTTGAGCACTGATTATTTAAAATAATATGAAGGTATAGAAAAGGATAAATATTTAAGGTTAATATTATTTCTTAAGTAATATTCTTATATTTTGCGAACTATTTTTATTCTTAGATTTTATATAGAGTGTCGAATATTCAGTATTGAAATATATTACATTCTTTAAGATATTTTATCAAAAGTAGTGCAAAAAACGATTTACTGGAACTTTTGGCACCATTGTCTGTGATTCAAGTACATGAATGTATTGATGCTAAAAAAAATTCCTTTGATTAAAATCAGTATTTTTCTATTCATATAATGAAACGTACCTGTAAATATTATTCATTAATGTAATTATTCAATTATTTTATTCTATATCACTTTTTCTCGCGAAATTATCATTGATACTGAAAATTCTGTCACAAAATAATGAATGTATAAATATTTCTAAATTTATGTTAAAATTAATTTTTTGTTTTATAATAATCATAAAAATAAATTTAAAAATAACAATAATTTTATTTACAACTTATATAGTAAAATATGCACATTATTATTTAGTCTAAATATAAACGTATTAAATCATCTTCCTTAGCAGGATAGTTTGTCACTGGGCACTTTTTGTTTGTACGTATCACAGGAAGAATGCATTGATAACAGAATGCATAACTGTAAAATGAAATATTTATGAATTATAATTGAATTCAATTTTCTAATTTTTGTAATATTATTTTCTATAATACACATACCCAGACACTGAAAGTACTGTATGTATTCTAAATGCTTTATAGCAGATTGGACATATTCCTTTGTATTGTTTTGCTATTTCTGGAATCTAAAATGAATATTTTATAGATTTTGAATTTAAAAAAAATTTAGTTACATAAAAAATTTATTTTTTACTTTTGGAGGTGATGGAATAGGTAATGATAATAAATTAGTTGAATAATGTTCTTGAGTCCACCAAGACAAGAATTGAAGAAAAAATGCTCCAAATTCAAAAGATGTAGTCATCATTCTTTGAAATATATCTATACCATCACTAATACCAAAGGAGTTTGTTCTAATTTTCTTTAAAAGATCTGAAATACTAAGTATCGGTTTTGGTTCTGCATATGTTAAAGTTATAGACAAAAGTCTCAAGAGTAGAGAAGTATATGCTGATTTTCCAGAAATATAAAGAACATAATTATATAGTACCATAAATTCATATATCATGAAAATTATTGCATTTCCTTTGATGATGCAATTACGATAAAATTTTTGCCATTTCTAAAAAAATAATTTTAAATGTTATTATAAAAAATATAAATTAAAAAAAAAATTGAGTATAATTACCGACTTTAGAACACAATCATCAACTTCTTCAAGTTTATATTTTTCCACTAGTTGAGAAAGTTTAATTTTTATATAAGGAAATAAAACTGTTAACATTAATGAAAGTTTTTTTTTGCTTATTTGATAGTTCACATTTAATTTTTGAGTTTACTATAGTTATGCGTTTTAAACTATAAAATGTTTCAGAAAATGATGCAGCTAAAATCAATACATTTAAAATATTTATAAATAAATAATATTTGTAAATTTTTTAAATTTATATAGACAAATAAAAATTACTTACAATATTTAGTTAAATAATACTGTTGAAGAATTGTATTAAAAATTAAATAACCTTCATCTGTCCATCTAAGAAGATGTCCATATCTTTCAATGTTAAATGATACAATGAACTAAAAGTTTATACAAGTATTTACAAAATTAAATATTTTTTAATAATAAAAAAATAAATTATATTTGATAAAAAATAAAAATAAATTATTTTTTAATTAAGTATTCATTATTTTATTACATAAATATTCCATTTTTATAATATAAGGATTCATAGTAAATTTTATAATAAATTTTTAATTAAATTTTTAACTAATTTTAAGGAATTATAATAATTATAATAGCTATTATAATTATATATATTATAATTATAATATATAATAAAAAATGATATTTTATCTTATAAGTTAATTTTAATAATTTGATTAAATAGAATTTATTAACGAATTATTAAATAAAAGTAAAAATATATAAAGGTTTTTATAATTAACTAACATATATATCGTATAAATTAGTATAAATCTGATATTAACCTACCGATAAAAATTTTGTAAAAACCGGTTCTACAGTATGCGCTAACGATTCTTGTGCTATAATTTCAAAAATAGAAGGTCTTATAAATGTAGTTCCAGTTAAATGTGCTCCTTTTTCGGCCATTTTCAATTTTCTTTTCTATATACTATATATTTTGTTCACTTTTTTATTTATATAATAACTCATATAAATTTCATGAATAAATCTTTAATATTTAAAATCATCATAAAATTTATTAGAAATTCAAATTTATTTACTATTATTTAAATTAATAATTATAAAAATAATTTCAAAACATAATAATAAGAATAAAATATATTTAACAATTGATTATAAATTATGATTTATTTCATTGATTCAATGTATATATTAAACTTGTATTTAAAATATGAATAAAAAAATATTATAAACACAAATATGAATATAAATACATAAGTAAGTAGTAATAATCTAAAAATGTTAATAATATATAGTTCACATAAAATCTATGAGTCATCTAGCGGACTGAATTAAAAGCATTAATGAAATTATAAAGCATTGTTGAAAATATTATAAATGAAAATGTTATATTAATTGTATATTTAGATTAACCTATCAATGTAATTATTAATAAACAATTTATTCGATACATAAGATAGTTTAATCTTGAAATAATATATTTTCGTACTTATTTATCTAATGATATTAAATGATCAAAATCTTAGTGGTGGGATAAGATATCAGTTAATAAAACAAAATCCCGATTAGTTTATACGGCACTATTGTAAATAAAATATTTGTGGTAGTACTATTGTTTGAAGAAAAAATTGTATAGCATGTTGACTAATTATTCTTATAGTTTATAGAATATAAAATAACAATAAAAAAATATTTTTTTAATATATTCTCGAAAATAGAATCATTGTCGTTATAATTTAATGATGTTGACTACATATTTTATATAGCATTCTGCCAGCTGATCGAAGCATTTATTATACATATAACTTGTGAATGTTAACATAACCTTATTTTATGACATTTCAGAATAATATATGTATAACAATTGAAAATTTAAAAATTGAAAGAAAATAAAAAATAAGATTTTTCATGCAAAGTTCATCTATTTTGTGTTAAAATAAAGATTAATTTGTAAAGAAGAAAGTTGTGATTATAAAAAAACAATGAAAATGATCCAATATCGAAAATACAGCAATCAAAAATGAATATTTTTTATTAAAATAATTGAATTTTTCTAAGACACTTGTGTAACATTAAGGTTACAATCATGTCTGGCAAAGGAAAACAAAGTTCTAAAAAAGCAATTGTTAAAGTACGAGAAAGTGGGAAAACAGTGCAAACTACTGCACTTAATTCAGATACAAGTTCAGAGAATACAGAAACTGCAATGTCTTTATCAATCTTAAAAATTGCTGATAATAGCCGTCTTCTTCCAAGGTATAGCAGTATTCTACAACGTAATGCTGAAGAAGGTGTAGGAATGGAAGATCTTGATACATTGCAGTTAGAATTAGAAATGCTTCTCTCTTCAGTAGTTGTACGACATCGCATGCTTCAAGAAGAGATAACTAATTTATCTTCAGCAGAGGAACGCAGAGATAAAAGATCCAAAAGTGGAAAGGGTCTTTCTCTTTTGGATAAAAAAGTCAGAGAAGAAAAATTTAAACCAAAAGGATTTAGTACGAAAACACAATCTCCTGTTCCAGCAAAATTATTCAAACAAAAGGCTGTTAATAGCTCAAATTCTCAAATCATTCCAAATGTTCATGAAATTTCAAGAATTGAAGGTTCTAAATCTGAATCACCAAAGTTGCTCTTACCAAAAAATGATACACCTAACAAATTTTGGGCATCTGTTGATCCATATTGTACTGATATTATGTCTGATGATATTAAATTGTTAGAAGAATTAATCTCCACACATAATGACATAAGTGATTTTAAGAAAATTCCTCCATTAGGTCGTCATTACAGTTTAATATGGGCACATAATGATTTATTGCAAGAAGAAGATGCAGCTAATCCAAATCGAGACAAGAAGAAAAATCGTTCAGATGTGTCTTTATTGGTTGGAAAAAATGATAAAAAAGCACACAGTATAGCAGGACCTCTAACTCAAAGATTAGTCTCTGCTCTATTAGAAGAAAATGTATATGTTGCAAATAACAATACAGATAATAAACTCTTTAGAGATAATGATCCTCCTGTTTTAAGAGATCTTACTATTCAGAATTCTATAAATTTAGAATTAAGAATGCACAAAGAATTAGTTGAACAAGGAATTTTAGAACCAGATGCACAAAAAAAAAATCAAGAAGATGACGAAATTCTGACTGAAATAAAACGATGTCAACAGGAGCTTACTGCACTTTCCAACCATAATGTAACACAATTAAAAAGACTATTGAATTTAGCTCAAGAGGAAAGTAAACGACAAGCATTGAAAAGAAAAATTAGTACAGCAGATAATGAAGTAATAGAACACTACAAAAAACTTATATTAGCAAAACAAAGAGAAGTACCTTTAACAAAAAAGGAACAAGAAAAAGCATGGTCATGTCTTCGAGAGAGAGAAAATCTTTTAGATCAACTAAATATGCTACCACATAATAACATAGGAGAACCTATAGGTTTCAACACTACTACAGATTAAATACAATTTTTTACTGTATTATATAATATAGTGATAAAAATTATGTATAAAAATTTAATAATATGAATCTAATTTTTAAATTGAATAGTGTAAATTTATCTTGAAATATTCCTATATTATATCAATTCTTATTTAAATGATTTAAAAATTAAAAATTTAACAATTATATTGAATTTTATCACAAAAGATGTATCATAAATATCCTATATCCTGACTACAAATTTTATTTTATTTTTGTACTAAATTAAAAATACACAGCATATTAAAAATGACTAGAATATTAATGAGAAATTATAAACTATGAATACAAATTTAAATAGATATAATATTGAATAAATCTCTACATATTTTTACAAATTATGTTTGCTTAATTTTATTAAGAAAATTACATATTTTATACAGAAAAATTAAAAAAAAATTTAAGAATTTTCAGTATATCTAGCATTTAACATATATTTTCAATGAAATAAATTGATATTTGTTAAAATTAATTATTTAATGTTATGCAAATATCTCAAATTAGAAATATAATTCAATAAATGTTCAATATATCAAAATTAAGTTTTGTCTAAAGAAAAACAATAATTATGACAAAGGGAAGGTTGCTCAAAAACAATCACTTATAAATTCAATAATAATTTCACGACAAGTGTTTATTCGATATCACTGTACAATTTTCTTCGTCCAGTTACCTTAATAACGCGCGCACGCGATGGCACAACAATGATGAACCGTTCCACACTAACAAAAAATGATGTATATTATTGTTTCTTAATATTTGATAACATTAAAAGTGATGAATATACATGTAAATGGATGTCAGGCAACGCTGTCATTTTTTTTTAATTAATTTTCTTAATAAATTTTCGTTAATGTTTTTGTTCGTTCCTCATTACATTGAAATACAATATTATTGTAATATGAGTTTTTACGCTACATGATATAAAGTAGACCATGAAATAATTATAAATTAGTTCGAAAGGCCCCGAAGGGGTTAAGGACGGTTCGATCGATGATCTAAATTACGTGTACAGCCGCCATTTTTTCAGTTCATTGTCGTACCGTCGCATACCCCGTCGAACCGGATACTCGAGCATCTCTAATGATTTCATGGCATCTCGTGCACCAAAGACAACTACCACTGTTTCCTTTACAGGAATCAAAGGACGCCGCTTTGGCAGTGATGCACTAAAACTAGTAATATTGTGTTTTTATGCGATTTTGTTAACTTAGAACGCGAACAAAAGTAAGAAAGCCATCATAAGACAGAAGAGACCCATGGCCTCAGACAAGGCAAAGCCCAGGATGGCATATGAAAACAATTGTTGCTTAAGAGAAGGATTCCTGGCATAGCCCACAATTAAAGAACCAAACACTGAACCAATTCCAGCTCCTGAAATCATAACATATATAATCTTATTATAATTAAAAAAAATTGATTTAAATTTATGTAATTTATGTTATAACTTTACTACTACAGGATGATTCTTTTTAGAAGAATTAGGATCAGAAGGCAAATAATATAAAGAATGCTATCATCAAATAAAAAAGGTCCATTGCTTCTGATAATGTAAAGCCAAGGATAACATAATTGCTGTTTTAGGAATGGGTTTTGGGTATATCCAATTATTAAAAATCCAAAAATTAAATATTTATCGTATCAATCCCTGGAATATAAATTTTATATATTTTTTTAACAAGGAAAATGAATATAGGAATAAGAATCAAAATATTATAATTTTCATACTTATCAAAAACAAAAATTATATACATACCCGATCCAGCAACACCTACAGTGGCAGCACCAGCACCAATGAATTTTGCAGCAGAGTCAATATCACGACTAATTATAGATGTTTGGAAACTGCGTATAATTGGAGATTGCACCAATGGAGACTATATAAAAATTATTCAAATAATTAGGGAAAAAATGAGTAATATTAAAAAAAAATTTTTTCATATTTAAAAATCTTATGAAATAAAAAATATTTAAATTTGAAAAAAATTTTTAAAATTGACAAAATTAATAATAATTAAAATCATTTCAGTTATTATATAGGATATAGTTATTATTATATATATTAAATAAAATTAATTACTTCATCAAATAATATGACTTACATAATACATAATCTTTATTATTTTTATTTTAATGTTTTGACATAAAAAATTAAATTTTATACAGATAATTATTTTAGAATTTTATATTCATCTTTATATTCTAAATTATTTATTTCAACTATTCTATTTAACTCAAATCTTTTTTCAATTCAAATTAATATTTTTCATGACATAATTCTAAACTATAAAATGATTAGTTAATTTAAAGTCAATTCAAAAGATAAAAACTCAGAAAATATAAGATCATATATGTTTATGATTTATTACAAATTAATATATTTATTTAAAAAAATTTTTTGTTTCTTATTAAAAAAAACTTTGAATTATGAAAATAAACTTGCTTATGTAATCTCGTAACGGGGTGAGGTTATGCAATGCGAAAAATATTAAATGTTACTTACAGTGATTGGATTCTGAATCTGATTTTGCTGTATAGACTGGCTGTGACTTATCACAGCACTGCTCAATGGCCGGATATAATTCTTAGTTCCAGAGACCAACTGAAAATAAGACAAATTACTCAAAGATTATATAATAATGTAAAAATTTGAAAATATTCGAAACGAAGAGAAAATTACTCACGGTCGACTTGGCGACAGGTACAATAAATCTAGTACAAGCATACATGATGACGTTTGAAATTGTATGATCACTCAAATGAGTATCTGAAACAACAGACGATATCTCTAAATGTGAAAATTACGAATTTCAAAAAAAGAATGCGTGCTAACCCTATGAACAACAGCGAATTACTAACCACGAGTCAGGCGTACGCAATGTACTATTACGTAACTTTTCTGACGGAATTGTATAGGAGATTCTAAGGATATAGGGTCAAAATTAACTTGTGATGCGATCCGAGTATCTTCGATGTCTGTTATTACAAAGAATGAAAATTACGGAATAACGAATGGTTGACGATAGATTACAAAATGGCTTCTCATGGTCTACCTTCGACTAACTTTTTGTTCTTCACGATTATTTAAGAATTTATAAATATATTCTTTTCAGTAATGTTTCAAATAGAAATTTGATTTTAAATAACAATAATTGAAATATTTAGTGAATTTTCTTTTACTTTACATGCTTCCTCATTAATAAGTAATCACACTTACCAGAATATGTTAAGGAGGCGGTAAGAAGACCCGGCCTGTTGGAATGTTGAATTGGTGAGTGACTACTGTACGAAACGCTCGACGTACGAACAACCTATCTGGACTGAAGGAAACGAACCGACTTCCGTGCGATGACCTATTATTCACTACTTTCAACACTTCGACTCTCACCGACTCCGATTATCGACCAACCGAATTTAGCCGAACTGTTTTTCGCTGCAGTAACTAATAAATACATTTTCTATTATATACTTCCGAAAAATAGTTTCTATTTTAACTTTTCTCAATATTCTATATTAAAATTTATACCATTTTTTATCATTTATTCTTTTTAAAAAATTTAAAAAAAGTCCTTTTATTAATAATTTTAAATATTGACTATTATAGACTCTCGCTTGACTTATTTCTTGTTAGTGATTTTCTCCATTGTATTGCCATTGTTGGCTGCTATGATTAGTGGCTGTTGGATTAGAGGTTAGTATAATAGTACATCAATACATATTGATAGCATAAAATTTAATTTACATTGTTTATTTCTTTTTCTTTAAAAAAATTGAAATTATTTTAGAAACTACATAAACTTGAATTTTATAGAAAATTCTATATAAAATTATAATAAAATAAAGTTTTATTTGGTAAAGTTTTTATTTGTTTTATTTAATATAATATTTTATAGTATCATATTTTATTCTACGTTTTTTCGTTTGTGTTTTAGAAGTTGTATATCACTTTCACGTTGAAGAATTTGATTAGCATTATATACTTGGAAAAACCGTTTTCCATGTTCAAATGTTGCAATCATAATTGCACAAGCTGGAGCCACTTTAATTACACGTGGAATTAGTCCTGTAAATAGTCCTTTTATTCCATTTTGTTTATAAATTTTTCGTATTATGGTCCATGTTCCACTACTACGTCCTGGATTATCTATATTATAATCCATTTTGTAATGAATATATTATTTTAAATAAAATATATAATAGAAAATATATAAAAATAAATCTGAAAATACCTGAATAAATTTCTTTCTCACCCATTTCTATTTGTTTATGTGTCTTTACTACATCAAATGGGATCGTTAAAAATGCAGCTATCTATAATATAATATTTTCATTTTTCTTTTTAAATTAAAGTTAAAAATAAAAAATACTTACAGATCCTGCTATAGCTCCTGCTGTAAAGTTAAAAGTAAAAGTTTGTTGTGACTCATGAAATTTTTGCTTTATAGTTTCATAATGTAACCAGTAAATTGCACTAAATGGTACATCACGTAGAAGAGTACTAGATAACCCCATCCATAAACCAGAGACACCGCTATATTTTACAACAGTTTTCAATGCTTGAAGAATTTCTAAGATAAAGAAGAATAAGTTACATTATAATTAATTAAAAATAATATAAACATAAAATATTACCTGCATAACTTAACCTTTGAGATTGCATCTTTGTTCTAATTAATTCTAATGGGCTTACTAAAGTTGCAGCCCAAATACGTGCTATAGCTCCAGCCATCATAGGAATCCAAAATGGCTGTTTCATTGTAATTGTACTAGCTTTTTTATTTTTTCTATTATATTTATCCTAAAGATGTAAATAGTTTTACAAAACTTTAAAAATATTACAATGCAAAATTGAAAAGAATTTTATTTACTTTAAAATATAATCTTAACTGTTCGTATGAAACAAAATATACTATAGTTGCAGGTACTGCTAGAACTAGAGTAGGACTTAAACCACTCCATAGTGAAAGAATACCTTCATTCTTACTAATTTTCATAAGAGCATCCTATGAATAAATTATTTCATATATTTAATTATTAGATTTTATTATATATAATTTAATTTTAAAAAGTATATCTAACTTACCACTGTACCATTAAATTTTCCATTTCCTTTAGCCCATATTGGACCTTTTCCATTCAAACAAGGACATAAATGGTCCATTAAACCATTACAATAAAGAAAACATTTATTAGAAAGCATTGCTTTCTGTTGTGCTTGAAGCCTAATTTTTACCACATCCAAAGGAGTAACTATATAAAAGATTTATATAAAATTTTTTTCATAATTATTTATACAAAAATGTATAATATGATGATAAATTTTACCAAAAACTGAAGTAATAAAAGCACCAGTACAAGAAGCAATGATTTGTTGATAAGGTTTGATCCTAAATCTTGGATCATCCAGATCCAAGTTTGGAGGTATAGTACTTAACTTATTCATTCCCAATTTTTACTTAGCAATCTGTTGACACAGCATTGAGGAACTTTTCCTTCCATGTTTAGTAACATATTTCTTTATGAATAATTTTATAGTTATATTAGAGTTAACAAAACAAGAACATACATATTTACTAACATGATAAAATAATTATAATTAGTTTATTAATTTCGTAAGATTTGTCTATCGTCAAAATGTGAACAATCTGAAAAATTGAGAATCATTATACTGTATTAATTATTAATATAATTTTAATCTAAAAACATTTATACAATTAAAATTAATAACAATAATATGACTGAAATGGTTAATAATTCAATAACTTAACTTTTTTCTTTATATTAGCACGTGGTTTTAACTTACATTAGCAACTTACAGCATTCGAGTATATTATAAAATTGTTATATTTTATGTAAAAACAATTATAAATATATAAGCACCGTATTGTGCACTTGTAAACCGGCCTGTAATTAATTGAAAAATATCATTACACTACATATTCAACCATTTAGTATTGGACGATTCTATGTTTAGAAGATATAAGAACATGTGACGATGTATAAAAAGATTGTATATGTATGCAGAGATGTACTATGCAGAGATGTAAAGATGGCACTCGAAACACACAGAGGTAAAAAGAGTACATTTTATTATTACTAATTCGCATATTATCATAAATTATGTGATCTAATTTGTCAATATAAAACAATAATTAATTTTCGATTATAGTTATTTTTATGCATTAGATTTAACAAAAATAATTAATCAAACTAGTATTTTTCTGAATAATGGATTATTTTTAACTTAATTATGTTTTAATTATTTAAAAATAAAATAAATTTGTATATATTAAATTTCTATTTGATTTTATACACAAAAATTATGAATAAAAATTTTTTTGATTTTTTTAATTTAAAAATCATTATCTCGTTTAAATTTATGAATTAATTTTAAAAAATATATATCCATATTAAATTTAAATTTTTATAATTAAAAAGAATCGAGATTTTTTTATTAAAAAAAACCAATATTTTCTACTATAATCCTGATCTATGATAAATTTAATTTATGATCAATTTGCGCATGCGTATAAAGTAAATACATTGCGCATGTGTAATTTATCGGTTTGGAGGGGCGTAGAAAGGAGGCCATATTGTACAGTTAAATTGAAAGAACGAAAATAATTATATCATCGTGCTTGTTTCGTTCCAAATTTTTATCATATCTACAATATTGTACGTTTGTTGTGAATAAAGCAACAGTATATTGAATCTGTTTTAAGGCTTCTAAGATTTCTTTTTGTAAATAACTACAAGTTGAAGTGGTGTATTTCGATATCTAGATACCGTCCGTCAGTCTACTAAAGGGGTTTATAGCTCCAGACGAGATGGGCACTCGGGATGATGAATACGATTATTTATTTAAAGGTAATTTTAATTTGATTCATTAATGTTACTTCGTTGTTCACAAAATTTTGATGAAAATTTTTCTTCAAATACACATATGCATATTCACATACTTCTAAAAACATATATATAATATTCATTTGCATATTCTTGTCATGTTTGTATGTATATACATATACATACATACATTCATACATATATACATACATACATACATACATACATACATACATACATATATATACACACACGCATATTTTACATATAAAGGAGATATAATTTTATATGTTTAAATATATATAAACATTAGTTAAAAATCAACAATTATTATCATTCGACTACATAAATAACAGAATTCGAATTAATATCAAATTATGTTTGATTTATAAAATAATTCATAAAGATAGGATAGAATCAAATTTAAATAACATCATGTTCTTTCATGTTCACAGACACGTTCTTTCCATATGAAAACTCGTAAAATGATTTTTATTAATTATTTGTCAGACGACATATTTGAAATATTTTAACTTATAATTAAATATGAATTAATTATTTACACTTATTTATGTTCCATGACAATTTATCAGAAAAAATTTTTATGTGTATTTTCGTATATAGTTCGTGACCATTCAATTTTCAATAATTTCTGTAATTTATTTATCAAATATTTGATTATATTTTTATATTCCTATATATAATATATATCCTATGTATATACAGTAGTCTACCTATTTTTATTTTACGCTCTTCGATTACTTTTTTCATAACATTTTATTTATTAATATTTATATTCATATTATATATTATATATATTTTATTTATTAATATTTATATTCATATTATATATCATATTATATATTGTGATGATTTAAAGGAAAAAATTACTGTCTGGACATTAAATGTATTATATGATATTATTTTAATCCAGTTTTTTATATTTATTATTATTTATTATTATTTTTATATTTAATAAACTTATAATTGTATAAATAAATTAATAATAAGATTTTAATTTAAAAAAAAAATATTTTCAATCCTTTTAATCTTTTTATTATTTCTTATGTTTTTTATAATTTTTTTATTAATTGTAATAATCCAATTTATAATTATAAGAATAATAATTTTTTATTTTGATATTTTGATTTATTTAAAAAAATATCTTACAAAATATTTTTGTTATTTTAGTTGTTCTTATTGGTGACTCTGGTGTAGGAAAAAGTAATCTTTTATCGAGATTTACAAGAAATGAATTCAATTTGGAATCAAAATCAACTATAGGAGTTGAATTTGCTACACGTAGTATACAAGTAGATGGAAAAACTATAAAAGCTCAAATTTGGGACACAGCAGGACAGGAGCGTTATCGTGCTATTACATCTGCGTAAGTTAAAATTATCTAATGAAAAAAATGATAATACATTCTTATATTTATTAAAATAAAATAATTAAATATTTAAATAAAATGATATTTTAAAACATTTATTTCTCATTGATAATAATCATTTTATAAAACAATTTTATTTTCATTTATATGTTCAGGTACTATCGTGGTGCAGTTGGAGCTCTATTGGTATATGATATAGCAAAGCATTTGACATATGAAAATGTTGAAAGATGGTTACGAGAATTACGGGATCATGCTGATCAAAATATTGTCATTATGTTGGTGGGAAACAAGTCTGATTTAAGGCATCTACGTGCAGTTCCAACTGATGAGGCAAAAGCGTTTGCGGAGAAAAATGGCCTCTCTTTCATTGAAACTTCTGCTTTAGATTCTACGAACGTTGAAACAGCATTTCAAAATATATTAACAGGTAAAGATATTCTTGTTTAAATAATATTAAGTATTTATTATTAAAGTTGAATCAAAATAGAAATTATTAATTATAATTAAATAATTAAAATAATTAATAATTTCTATTTTGATTTTGATAATTAAAATATTTTAATTATTAAGATTATTATTATATTATTATATTTAAAGATAAATAATCTTTGGAATATATATATATATAGAATAAAAAGGCTTTAAAATAGCAAAGTTTTTAGGATATTATAAATGATGATTATAGTAGATATGATGTAACTATTTTTTGTATAAATTTCATTCATTTTTAAAGATAATCTCGATTCAATTATATGTTTATATGTGCATACACATATGTATACAAATACACATTGATAAACTTAATTAGATATGATTACAGATCGATATGATTCAATTACTTTCTAATTAATGTATTGGATATACATGATTCTAAGTTCTTGCACATATATAATATTAATATATTATATACTATATATTTTATATATATATATTAACCATTTTTCATATTTTCAAGAATAAGAAACATCACTATTTGACTATTACAGAAATCTACAGAATCGTATCGCAGAAACAGATACGTGATCCACCTGAAGGTGATACAATCCGGCCACAAAATGTAGAACCCATTGACGTGAAACCGACAATGAATTCAGAAGGAATGCGTAAGCAGTGCTGCCAGTGACTCATCTTGTTGCTTAAAATGTGTGTACACGCAAATACAGTAACAATATCACGGGAGTACACTCAATAATACCAACTTTTTAAGAGAAAAAATTTAGTCTATGGTCCAGTAAAAAAGAAAAAAAGATAAGAGAGTTTCTGGGATAATTCTTTGTACGATAGCATAGTTTTAATATAAGAAAACTATGATTAGTTAATTATAAATATTAAGTTAATTTGTAAATTGAGTTAATTTTAACATACGTCAAAATTAAATATTATTAAAGACATTTTATTATGTATTTTTTCTTCCATAATAATTGTTACTAATTATTTAATTTTATGTAATTAAACATTTAAAAAAAGAAAAAATATTAAAAAAATTTTAAACATTTATTATTTATATATAAGAGTAATGTTTTTCATCATAAATTCATTTCGTTGTAAAGAATTATTAATTAAAAAAATATATAAATTGAATATATTTCAATATATTATATTTAACTAAACTTTACATTTTGTATCAAAAACTAAAATATTATATTCTGAATGGAATAATAGATTTTAATTATAATTTAATTTATTTTTTTTATATTTATGAAAATAAATCATAATTCATTTTTTATATTAATTAATTTTTTAATTAATTAAAGATAATCATCAATATCAGAAGAATGCTGAATAATATGTTTAATTATAAGTTTTTATAGTTTGTTTTATACTAAATTTTATTTAATATTAACAGTCAGATCATTTTCATCTGTATTACTTTTTAAATGTTTTATTGCACATATTCAGTATGTGTGTAATATTTAAATAAATAAATATTTCTTTATTTATTATAGTATTGAAAACTACTTTTGAATTCTTATAAATTAATATTTTTTTTGCAATCATTTATCTTCAATATATAATATTTTTTATATATAATAAACTATAGAATAGACTAATGTTTATATTCTATCATCTAATATTTTAACTCATTCCTTATAAAATTTTGTTTATTTCTGTTTAATCAAAAAACTTCAAAATTTGTTTTTGAAATATGGAAATTAAATATACTAATAATTAATAATATAATATGAATTGTTAATTTCATATTTTATAATTTTTAAGATTCTCCATTAATATTGCTTGAAGATAAATGAATTCAATATCAATTATTGATTACTAACAATTACATTAAGAATTTATAGATTATTTAATAATTATAATTTCAATAATATTAAATTTAAGTAAATTTAAATAAAAAAAGAACAATTTATAAGAATTTTAAGTGTGAAAATTTATTTTATTTTATATTTTTACTTTATTATTTAAAAACATTAATTTAATAAGTCTAATGATAAGAAAAATAACGATTTAATAATAAAACTTCGAACTATTAAACTTTTTAACTTTTTTAATTTTTAATATAAAAATCACTTACATTTTATACGATATAAAACTATATTAATCCTTAATGTAATTGCAATTAATAACTGCGATTGCATACATTTATGTTTACAGAAGGACATACAAAGAGGCAGAAAGAAAAGTGGTCGCCGGTAAATGTAACAGGTGCAAACAGTACAAGAATCAAGACTATTTACAAATATAAGTACATATGATTAAAGGTTTCCCAAATAATCCGGCGTTCTAAATACAGAATAGACTGTTCTCTAATTCTCGCTTGAAATTGTCCTTGGAAAC